ATCAAGACGATGGGCGACACCTGACACCTCCGCAGGCTGGTCATCCCCCATGCTGGGCTGGGCGAGTATCTCTTCCAAAGGCTCACCCTCACCCTGGCCAGGTAGCTCAGTTGGTTAGAGGTTCCTCCCAATATGCCAAGGTTGGGGGTTGAGGGTTCGATCCCCAGTCTGGGCACATACAAGAAACAACCAATGGAACAATAAATTGATGGAACCAATGGAACAATAAATTGATGTAAATAAGTGGAACAACAAATTGATGTTTCTCTCTCACGCGTGCGCTTAAAATCTATAAATAAAATAATTTAATAAACCAAAAAAAAAGAAAGGCTCACCCTCAAGCTTGACTAGGAGCCTTTGGAGCCCAGAGGCCTTTAAGGGGCCCCTCTGAATCCCCCTAGAGTCTGGCTTCTGGCTTCTGTGTCTGGCTCCTGGCTTCTGTCTGAGCCTCTCCCTGAAACCACTAGCATCCTTTTAACCACCCTGGAGCCTTTTCCCATACCTGGGACCAAATGGAAACAGTAAAGCATTTTGCAGAAAAAAAATAGTAAACACCTTGAATGAAAAATACATGGTGCAGTATAATATGCATACTACTAGGCCATTTGTCTGAAACTTAAAACCAGACATAACAATACATATATTATTTGTGGGTACATACATATCTAATGAAAACCTGTATAGAAATAATATACACAAATTCAGATTCCTTTTTACCTCTGTAAAAATAGACTCAAGTAGAGGCTATTTATTGTACAAAACCCAGTATATCCAGATCTAGAAGTAGTCAGTCTAACTCATGGCACTGTGAGACCATCACAACCCTACCTTCTTTTAAAGGCTCCTATTTCCTTGAGGTTTACTATTTTGGCCATATGCCTATCATTTCCTTTTGGTTACTCTCCCTCAGTCCTTGGGAAGACTGACACTTGTTTTATAGAATTTCTCTCCATCCCAAGATCTGCTACTACTCCAAATGATTAAAACATTCATATGTGTGTCCCATCCAAAACCTAGCCTCCTCGACCCAATAGGCATCTACTCCACTCCACTTCAATCACTCATTTCCATGGCTCCATCCTGGATCTTGCTACCACCCAGAATTGCTTCATGGCATGTCTGAAACCATAAATTCAGGCATCCGCTTTTCTCACCAATGTCTTATTCTTTCAGGTCACTTGCTCAATTGCTCCCAATACGCCTGTTTTGATTCCACTGAGACAGTCAGTCCACTGACAGTCACTTCTACTGTATCTCTTTGTATTAGCCTCTTCTATCTTCACTTCCTTCCTTATCCAGATAAGATTCCACAGTCCAAAATCTAAACCACTTTTCCCAATATATTCTATTATCTTGCCTTCTTACCTTTCAGTCACACTTTCCTGGAAGAAAATATATATAATCCCAAATGCATGTTTTCAGAGGTGCCCTTAGAGCAAAATTCAACCTGATGAATACGACTTGGCCTCCACCTGCTTCTACAAACATATTTCTTGCCACTCAAAATCTTGTATCTATGCTTCAGCCATAATGATTATCTTTTACATCCTTGAATGCACCCAACTCATGGGCCTCTCCACATGCTTTTTGCTCTACCTATAACAATTTCCCATTAACTTTGCCTAGCACTTCCATGAAAAGTAGTCAATAAAGATTTGTTGAATTAATGTAATCAATGAAAGCATGAGTAAATGGTTAACCAGACCCATTAGTTACCCCAGATAAATATCACAAATAAGCTATGCCCAGTGTTCATTCCTTCCCATCTCCAGGTCAACAGCACATGATGCCCTTTAACATGCACCTCAAGCAGACCCACAGAGGTTTCCTTCTAGCACTGTCACTTATTATTCTTGTGCACCTTCTTAGAAAGTATTGATCTAGTGATAATTCTTCCTTCACAATGTCTTTCCATCTAACTGAAACTAAGACCTTGTGCTCTAATTATAATAATAATCAACTTTTTCTAAGCATTTTTTTTATATATCAGCTCATGTGTGTCCCATAAAAAACTGTGAGGTATATTTTATTGACATCATCTTATAGTCAAAGAAAATGAGGCTCATGGATGTGAATTTAAGGTCATTAAGGCCACTAGAGAGCAAATCCAAGACTCAAAAACTTCTATCTTTTTAATTCAAAGTCCCTTTTCTTTTCATGATTAGTGTTGCCATTCTTGGTCAAAAATAAAAGAGAGGAAGAAGAGAAAAGGGAAAAGAGATGAACACAGACATTATTTTTATGAGTGAATAACGAAAGTAGAAGAAATCAGATTTGTAAAGAACAAAGGAACAGAGAAGTTGTGGAGGGAATGAAGAGCCAGAGGAAGATGCCTGAGCAAGAATGACTTTGAGGTAAGGAATCCAGACAGCAGGCTTCAGCATCAAAGACAGCACACTATCCGGAATTGTGGAAGTAAATGAGCTTTATCTGTGTTTGTGCTGGGAAAGTGTGAAAAGAAGTGAGGACATCTCCTTTAACTCCAAAAGGAAGTGAACAACAGTGGGGAGGGTGAGACCTGGCGTTTTGAAGTTGCCCAAGGGAGGAGGACATATGGGCAGATCCTTGACCTGGTCATGGACGTCGCTAGCAACCTCTCCCAGCCTGACTTTCTTTTCCTCTCTCCCAGGGTACCTGTTCTCTAGCCCTTGAGATTCCATGTGAATCATTTTTCTTGGTTCAACTTCAGAAAAGTCTTATTGTTGTTATTTTGGGGTAGGCATTGAGGTTTTTCCTAAAATAAATCATTCCCCCAGGAAGTAAGGGAGCTCAAAAAGGACACGGCCTTCTCAGGACGTGCTGGTTAAACTCCTCACACCATTCTCCTACAAGCAGCTCAAGGTTCCCTGTGGCATTTCCAACAAGATTGTGAAGTTTTCTAAGAAGACAGAAGAATCTTTGTTCCGGGAAGTAGAGTTCTTGACTGATACATTATCCCCCAAAGGGTTATATAACTGGAAATTTTCCAACCCTTAATCCCTGTACATAAAACCAATGACAAAATTAGACTACCCTAGTTGCAAAACCAAATAGGACTCAGAGAACAGAGAGCTAGGAGTCAGAGCCAAGCCCATAGACAGTGCAAGGTATAGAAACTGGACACAAAGATTATGAGAAGTTAGACTCCTCGAGCTATGATCAGGGCCAAAAATTCTACCATAAAAAAGGAGGCACTTCAAACAGGTACCATCCCAACTTTCCTATGAGACAGGGACTGGATTCCTCCAACAGTGCTTTTATCCTAACCCTAGCTCCCTTCCTCCTGACTTTAAGCCCTAGACTTTGAGATGGATGAAAACTCAAACTGTGATCATGCCTCTTAAAAGTGAGAATAATGTCATCATATCTCTTGATGATACTTAGCTGGTGCTGTGGCCTGGATGTTTGTGTCCTCCAAAAATTCATATGTTGAAACCCTAATCTCCAATGTGATAATATTTGGAGATAGGGCCTTAGGGAGGTAACTAAGCCATGAGGGTGGACCTCTCATGATGGGATTAGTGCCCTTATAAGAAGATACACTCAAGAGCTCAAGCTCGTTTGCCTTTCTCTCTCCATCATGTAACATGAGAGAAGATGGCTATCTACAAACCAAGAAGAAGGTCCTCACCAGGAACCCCATTAACTGGCACCTTGATCTTGAACTTTGCAACCTCTAGAACTGTGAGAAATAAATGTCTGCTGTTTAAGCCACACAGTCTATGGCATCTTGTCACAGCAGCCCAAACTGACTAAGACAGCTGGTGTACAGCACTAACAGGCCTCAGGTATTCCTGAGGAAATTTAAACAATCCACAAGATAATCCTCTAGGACCGTCTGACCACTGCAAAACATTTCTGTGGAACAGAGGTGGGAAAGATCAAGAGAGGAACTAAAAATAGCTGATATTTGCTACATGTCTACTATGTATAGGCACTGTTCTCAGTGCTTTCTACTAAACCACTTACCACAATAACCCGATAAAGTAGGTACAGTTATTATCTGTTTTACAATAAAAAAACTGAGGTATAAAGATAGAGTGACTTCCTCAAAGTCATACATTAACAAGTGTCAGAACTGGTATTAAGACCCCAAAGTCTGGCTCTGGAATCTGTGCTCTCCACCACTGCACTCCAGCCTGTTGCAAACAACAACTTAACCCCCAGAATAATCTTGCTATGTGAGACCCAAGGCCCTATTTCAATTCAAAACTTTTACAATTTTCTCTTTATTATTATGAAATGAAATTTTCAGATTACACAACCTAGCTTCACACATAATTTCATGAAAATCGGCATAATGTACTAAATGCCACATAAGAGAGAAATATGTGGGAAATAACTTATTGTAAAGTAATATGTATTTTCAAAAAATGTTTTGGATACAACCACACCAGAAGACATGTACCTCGGTGGCAGGTTCAATCCCAGGAGGCAAACAATTGATGTGTCTCTCTCTTTCTCTCTCTCTTCCTCCCTCTGAAAAGCAATGGAAAAAATATCCTCAGATGAGGACAGAAAGAAAGAAAATGAAACATCTCCGTAAAGTAAACTGGAACATGTGGAAATATGTGAAGTAAATGACAGAGAATTCAAAATTGCAGTTCTGAAAATATCAAGAAAATGTGAGAAAATACAGATAGGCAAAGTTCAGCAGAACATATAAGGACAACCCCCTTCGGGGACACTCCAACAAAGCACAAGCCTTGAAAATCACACTTCTTTCTCCTACCAACCCCCTCCTTTCCTCATTCCACCCTCAGCCATGCATTTGTCCAAATCTAGGACTGCCCCACCCCCACACTGAGACTTTATTCCTGGTACCGTTCTTGGTTACCTCCCCTTCCCTGAATTTCGCACTGGCAGGACCAGCTTGGGGAATTAGACTTGGGCAGACAAGGCCTTCTTCCTGATACAGATGCCAGTACAACTGTTCACTCAGAGACACCTTTGTGTCCACAGGGTATAAGAGACAAGAGCGTCCGGAACATACTAATCCTTGGGCTGCACTAGCTGCAAAAATGAGGTCAATTCTGATCATCTCCCTCCTCAGCTGCTTCTTTGCAGCTCACAATGCCAAAGTCTTCTCCAAGTGTGAGCTGGCCCACAAGCTGAAGGCCCAGGGAATGGATGGCTTCCATGGCTACAACCTGGCAAACTGTGAGTATGAACTACTCATCCATCCTGTCTCTGCCCAAAGAGGCCCTCTTCCCCAACCCAGCTTTCTTCACTCCCCTGCCTGTTCTTCTTGTCTCTGTCCCCTCTGCCCTGTAATTCCTATCTGGTTCTCCTTTCCTCTCTTTCCACCAGGGATTATTTTACCTATAATAGATTTTCTTTTGCTTCTCTCCCCAGTCGCCTTCCTACCCAATGGCCTGAAATATTTCCTTGGACATACCGAAAGCTTAACCTATCTACGTCTACTTCTGCTGCCGTCGCCTTTGCTTTCACCTGCATTTTTTTTAGTCCAGGTCTTTGGAGCACAATAGGTGCTGCCTCTGCTCTTTTCTTTTTTTTTCTTTTTTTTCTTTTTTTTTAAATATATCTTTACCGATTTCAGAGAGAGGAAAGGAGAGGGAGAGAGAGAGAGAGAAACATCAATGATGAGAGGGTCACTGATCAAGCCCACAACCTGGGCATGTGCCCTGACCGGGAATCGAACCCTGATCTCGTGGATCCTAGGTCGATGCTCAACCACTGAGCCGCGCCCAGCCGGGCTCCTCTGCTCTTTTCTGTGCCAAAAATAACCTACATCTGCTAAGTTTGTCTAAGGTTGTTCTACTAGTGTCACAAGGGAGTTAGATGGGGATCATGAGAACAGAAGGTGAGGCAATGACAAGGGTGCAAGGATTGAGGGTCATCTATCACAATGGTAGGCGCAATGAGACTATTTTAACTTCTCTTGCATATTTTCATGTTTCTCCATGCAAACCTTCTCTTTCTTATTACCCCCAAAGATAGTTTGTCTGGAATTCCTTCCTAGGATTCTCCTTTACTACCTCCCCACTCTTCTCTTTCATATACCTTGAGATACAGAGCAAAAGTGCATATACATGGCAAGAATTGGATATTTGGCTGGAAGGTGAGGCTGGAAAGGTTAGACTGGGGAACAAACTGTGACTGATTGATGATTGGGCATTCCAAATGCAACTTTTTTAACGAATTGTTATTACATACTTACCATGGGCTTATTGGTTAAGCCTGGAAATACACCTGGATTATAAATGACCTCTAACATTGAGGGTCTCATAGTCTTTGCCTTTCAGTCTTATGGGATTTTCATTTCTGGTAGCTCTAGTGCAGCACAAGTTGAATCTCGTTATGGTGCACGCTCCCTTTTTTATTCACACCTTTTGCTCTCTCTGACACAGGGGTCTGCATGGCTCAGTATGAGAGTGACTTCAACACCCAGGTCGTTAATAAAAAAAACGCCAATGGCAGTAGTGACTATGGGCTCTTCCAGCTGAACAACAAGTGGTGGTGCAAAGACAACAAGTATCCCTCAGCAAATGCTTGCAACATAATGTGCAGCAGTAAGGACTCTCTCCCCTCTGAGGGTTGGGAGGAGTGGGGGCAGGTAAAATGGGTGCCAAACTGAAAGCACTATTCCCTAACACCTGAGACTCGGCCTGTGCTGCAGTAGCTGAGTATACGAAATAAAAGGGCCCTAAGCAGTCCTCACACTAAAGCAGGATTCCACAGAGATCCTCCTGCCAAAAAGGAGGGAGAGAGATACACTGACCCTTGACTAAGCCTCACCTTCATGGGTCTCCATCTCTCAAGATGTGCTCTCCCATTCCTGACATGGACACCACTGCATTGCCATTCCACAAACCCACACAGTACTCAGGGCACACTAAGCAGGTATCTGAAACAAAGGCTCTCCGTAGTCCATCAAGTTCTGGATGCCCTCTAGAGGGAACAGGGCTCAAAGACAGATTCTTAACAAAGGCACCAAAACCCAGCAAAATGAAAGGCAAACCCACTAAAGGGCTCCAGAGATAAGGAGTTTCTGACTCTCAAGGCTGTCTCTTCTGGGAATTCCCCTTTTAAAAAATCATTAGTTTTTAAAATAGAAAAAGGGTTTTTTCCCTCCCCACTCATCTACTTTTCCTTTCAGAATTCCTGGATGATGACATCAATGATGACATCAGGTGTATAAAGAGAGTTGTGAGAGATCCTAACAGGATGTCTGCTTGGTAAGGAGCACAGAAAGGGCAGAGACCAGCCACTCTGCTAGGGATGGGCCCAGACTGTATCTGGGATGCTGATGTGAACAGCATCTATGCTGTAGGATTTTCCCTGGGCTTCATAAGGCATCGAGACTGTTCTCCTGAGGTAAAATGAGGCAGAATAATATTGTGGTGTTTTCACCCCAGGCATCACTGCAGCACCCACTGCATGTCTCAGGTGGGTAAGCCTTCCCTATCTGGGACTCTCCCACAGCAGAAACAGATTCCAGCCTGCAGGGCCTGCATTCCCTCTCCAATGAGTTATTACAGACTTCTGGTCCTGCCTCTGATCTGTTTTATTTCTCTATCCTTAGGAAGGCCTGGGTAAGTCACTGCAAAAACAAGGATTTGTCCCAATACCTGGCCGGCTGTAACCTGTGAGACTGTCCTTGAACATGGCTCCTAGAGAAGGTCGCCCCAAAGGCAGGGCAATTCTTTAAGGTCCTAGGAAGCTCTGAATGTTCCCCCATCTCTGCCTCCAAAATAAAAATTACTCAAATTCAGCTGTCTCAAGTAGCATGTTTAATGATTGGGTCATGATGGAGACTTGCTACATGAGGCAGACAGCTGGAAACCCTGTTCTCTCCAAGCCCACCACTGAAGTTTTCCATATATCCTCTAGAAAGATAATTAAAGCAAAATCCTTGCCTGAGAACTTATGGGTTACCCAGTCTAAGCTGACAGCTGAATATAGCATTCTCGATGCCAGCTTTTATGAAATTTATTTAGTAGAGGTGGCTAATATTATTCTCCATAACCATGAAGGAAAGTTCAAGATAAAACAGAAGAGAATTGTGGGAGAAATTTGGTTTAGACATGGGGAAGAGTTGGCAGAATATCGGGCTGATTATGTTGGCTAGGCTAAATGACGAAGTTGCTATAATAGAGTCCCAAAAATACAGTGCTCTCACAAAATAGTCCAAGATGGGTATAAAGGCTCTTTTCTCCCACACAGACATTCAGAAACCCAGATTCTTTCCACCTTGCATCTCTACCACTGTCTACAGCAGTGCTACTCAAAGTGTGGTCTATGGACCAGCAGTATCAGCTTCACTTGGGAGCTAGAAATACAAACTCTTGGATCCACTGCAGACCTACTGAATGTTGTTTTAATCTCTGTTTCATTGAGCTCTCTGGGTGATCCTCATGCAGAGAAACATTTGAGAAGCACTGCCCTAGGGTACTGTCCTTTCCTACTTGGGCAAAGCTGGATTGAAGGCGCTCCTTACTCCAATTTGCAGAAAGAATTAGTGTGGAGAAATGCATATGCAATGTTTTAAGGCCTAGAAAAGGCACATGTCACTTCCATTTATACTCCAAATATAGAATTTAATAACATGCCATTCCTAGCTGCAAGGGAGTCAGGGAAATGTAGTACCTACATAGGTACTACTTTTGTCCTACTACAGTACTATTACCATGGCAAAAGGGAAGAATGGATTTTGGTGGACAACTAGCAATTTCTGCCATAGTAATTAATAAATCACTTAATAAAGTAAATCATAATCACATTCCAGTAGTGTAAATGTTGCATTGAATAGTATGACTCATGGGATATAACCATATAAGAGTATTTTTGTCCCACCATAACTATGCATTTATTCTGTGGGGTGGGTTCTTCTCCTGCCTCTGGATAAAAACTCAGGCAAGTACCATGACTTTTCTAGTCACCCTCAGATAATGAAAGTACAGTAACTCTGTCCAAGGAATCCACCTCTCTTCTCTCCAGCTCTTTTCTTAACCTCTCCAACATCTTTTATACACTGACAATGGAAGATCCACTAAAAGTGCAAAAGTATATTTCCTCAGTCTCCTTTTGTAAATATTTGTGGTCTTCCATTTCACTTTGAAATGTGGCATCTATTAAGTCCTCAGCTGAAACTAAAACAGTTTCCCATTTAACCTCCTGATATAATGTCTTTTAACCATTTACAAAGTACTTTTGGAGAGTAGATCTTATTTGGCCACACTCCATGTGTTATGGAAAGCAGGACACCGAGTCTCATTCTCTGATTGCTACTGTCACGGCCTTGCTGCTCCTGTACCAGGCAGCCAGCTCTCTGAATGGATATCACCACTCTTGCTGCTGCTGCTGCTGCTACAACTGCTGGCTGGACTCCTATTCTTGTCTGGTTGGCATCACTATGGCTGAGTCCCAGTTGAAGGTTCCCAGGTAGGAGAATAAATAAATGGAGGAACCGGAAGGTAAAGCAAAGAGGAAATAAAGAGGCCAGCTTGTATTCTGGCACCAGTATAACAGAGCTCCTTATCAGGGCTAATTCTCCCTTGGTTTTCTGGAGCAAGTTCTCTGTACCTGCACGTTCCAGGAGGCAGCAAAGTAAGTTCTCATAACTATCCAAGATACCTGTCACTCCCTGTGGTAGAGTGAATTACTATCCTGATTCCTTGCCCCCTTTTTCTGTCAAGTAACTTTCCAGAGCACTACATGGAAAGGGTATATTTTCCCACCACATGGATGTTGAACTTGGCCATATAACTTGCTTTGCCCATGGAACATTAGCAGGTGTGACAAAGTAGAAACTAAAAATGTACTTGCACAGTATTGTTTGGCCTCTTGTGCCCCAGTGATTGTCAGAAGAGAGCATGCCTCAGGTATCCATTGTCCCCCTGCCACCTGGGCTCCAGAATGAAACATGTGGAACAGACTTGAACCCAGCCCGTCCTGGCTCCTAAAGTAGATCTCCATTCCCACCCCTTCACTCCACCGACAATCCACCAGACCTAGGAGCAAAAAAAATAAATGCTGTTGTAAACCACTGTGTTTTGGGGTGGTTTATGACACAGGAAAAAAACAAAAAACCACCTCACCACTGTAACTTCTCAGGTCATCCCTTTCACTCTCCCCCACAAATCCTATCCCCATTTATGTTAGTAGCAAGAGTCTTTATTGTAAGGAAACAGATTCTATACCTCCTTTTTTGCATTACATTTAGTTAAAATATGTTTACTGAGCCCTTCCTTTATGGTTAGTAGCCCAGGAAAGGGATTAGGATGCGGGTCCTGCCCTGTGTCATATTACAGTTCTAGGGAGGAAATCTAAAGTCCCCACCCAGAATAATCCAACCAGTAACTAATGTAAGTGGTCCTTTAATGTAGCTTCTTTCCTCTCCCTATATAAAACCAATAAAGAGCTAAACTTCAAAGAAGCTCAAATGCTCAACCAAGGTTATACTGTTATGGTAAGGTTGGAGGCCTGATTGGAAAAACTTGGGACCCTAATATATGGGATGAAAACATCTGAGTGGAAGTCTCCAGGAACATTGGCTCTGCAGACCTCCCTAAACCCTCAAAGTTGGCAGAGGTCGCCCATTACTCCCTAGCAAGTGCTAGCACTTCTCCCAGGTAGGAAGACACTAAGTAGATACTGTAATGAGTCCCTCAGTACTTCCCCATTTACTGTGTGACTAAACACTGGGGGAGAGGTAATATTCAGTCTTTTCAAGGATTATCGGATATAGGTCTGAGTTGACACAAACCCAGAAACTGGAAGCTTCATAATGGTCCCGCATCATATTGGCGGCCCTTCCACCAGCTCACTGAAGATGGGTACCTGTAAGACTAACTGGAGGAGAAAAACACGCAGTCTGAGACCATAATAAGGCACTCTTCCTCAACTGCATCTACGTCTTCGTGGCAGTAAGTAGTATCTATCAGGCCACTTCCATCCTAGAAGAGTGAGCTGTAAGTACATCCTCAGAGGGATGCCTATTCCAGGTACAGGTTTCACCTTTCCTGTTCACAGAACAGGTATGAAAATTCACACAACATAGCACCTGACCAGGAATTCACTGCACAGCGGAGGAGGGGTCCACTGGTCATATAACATATTCCACTCTCCAGAAGCAGCTGGTCTCAGAGCCCTGGAACAGCCCACTGAAGATACAGTTGAAACACCAGCTTGGAGGAAATACTTTGCAAGGATGGGTGCCATCCTTCAGAACATAGTATATGTACTCAGAGATCTCTATAAAGTGCTAAGTTCCATTCATTAGGAAGAATAGATGGGTTTAGGCCTGGCCGGTATCACTCAGTGGTTAGAGCATCAGCCCATGCACTGAAAGATCACGGGCTTGATTCCCAGTCAAGGGCACGTACCAGGGTTTAAGGTTTGATCCCTGGCCCATCTGGGAGGCAACCAATCGATGTTGTCTCTCTCCCTCTCCCCCCCTTCCCTTCCAAGCTCTAAAAAACAATGGAAAAAATATCCTTGGGTGAGGCTTAATAAAAAAAATAAAAAATAAAAATAAAATGGGTTCAGGACCAAGGGATGGAGCAGAGTAGCCCAGTAGCCCACTGGGGTATTCCCACTTCACAACTCAGGCTCTGCAAGGTCCTGGTTCGAAAGGGGTTGCCCTCTTATGAGACATAGCAAGGACCCAGTTGAACTATAAGCTATAGCTGTCCCCAGGCCATTTTACATTGCGTCCAGGAACTAGCAGGAATGGAGTCTCCCTTTTCACAGGATAACTGATCAGCAGAGGAAGTAGGGCTTCTTTCATACAAAACAAACAAACAAACAAACAAAAAATACCCAGGTCAGCAACTTGGGTGCTACATTGGTTTTCTGTTGCTACCATAACCAATTACTACAAACTTAGTGGCTTCAAAAAATGTAAATGCATTATCTTACACCTCTGTAGGTTAGAGACCCAGTACAGGCCAAAATCAAGGTATGGACAGGTTGTATTCCTCTCTGTAGGCTCTAAGGCAATTTGTTTCCTACTCATTCAGGTGTTGGCAAAATTCAGTCTCCTGCATTATAGGACTGAGCAGGCTGTCAGCTGGGGGCATTTAAAAACTAGAGACCTCTCCTTGGTCCCCCCACATCTCAGAACCAACACTGTAGTTTTTCTGGGACCACAGCTGAGAAACTTTCAAGGACATGCCATTAGGTTAGGCCCACTGGAATAGCCCAGGATACTGCCCCCATCCAAAGCCCTTAACCATAACCATGTCTGTACAGTCCCTTTTGCCAAGTAAGGTAACATATTCACAAGACCCAGGGATTAGGATAAGAACACCCTGGGAGATGTTTATTCCTGTCTGCCACAGGTGCAGCTTGGTACTACCGTGCCCAACTGTAACTGGACGTGTGTGGCGACCTGGCCTGAGAAGGGTATGATTAGCCATGACTCAAGACAGGAATGAGTTAGGTTCACATCACCAAGTAAACCACCAAGACCTACCATCATGTTAACCAATGATAAAGGGAATTTAGAATGTTTAGTGAAGGGAGGTGACAAGTTGTGGCCCCAAGACAAACTGCAGCAATGGGAGCTGTAACTTATCACCCAAAGCTATCTTCCTCCTAAGAGGCCCCTCATGAATTGTGAACATGCATGGAGAAATGAAACTATAGA